TTTAATCTAAAATTTTACAACATGCAAAACCATATTAAAGGAAACGAAAAATAAAGTTTTCAGTAAGAGATAATAGTACTTTTATATAATAACGAATAATAAATAATAATAAGTGTCCGTATTAAATTTAAACTACAAAGATTGAGTTTCTAAATAAATATTTTAGAAAAAAAAGGTAACCAATTCTATAAGTAAAGAAATATTTATAAGTTACTTAGTTTCATATAAATGAAAAAATGTAAACCTATATTTACATAATAAGAAATTATTATTGTAGAATTTGCAATTTAAGTGTATCGTATTTACAACCTAAGCGGTTTGTACAATCTATCGGTCTTACACAATATTTCTATAAATGATTACATGCATAAAAGATATCAAAATGTACAAAATCAATTGTTTGCAATATTCTGTATACGTTTAATTGTCGCTGTCAATCAGTGCATATAACACCATTTTAGACAATCAAATAAAACAATCATTATACGTACTGTAAAGTTTTGCTTTGTATGCAAAACTAGTTTTACCTGCCTCATAATCCCTGAGACAATTTTATCAAACTTGCCTTTTTATGTCTCTAATTAGAAGTTGAATTGCATAACATGAACACCTTTAATATCGGCAATAAGCCCACACTAACTCACTTCCTCACGAAAGACAACACATCTGATTCATGAGGTTTCATTGCTATATTTTCGGCGAACGTGGGGACGTAACGAGAAGGGTCAGCAAAACATGGCGACCATAGCGACGACGTTGACGTAAAGATTCCACAATTTATGCCTACGCGTGATAAACTGAATCTCGGTTACGGCGTCTTACGAGTTGCGAATATCGCGATTCTCACGTCCTCGAGCCAACATACAAAAGCAAATGACAGCGAGGAGAAATCGGCAAACCTAACCTATAAGAACAGACCACGGCGCAGCGGCAACTGTTGAACACGAGCCTAAAGACGGAAAAAATGGGCGAGGAAGAGGAGGAAGAAGCAGCGTTATGCAAGCTTAAACAGATATACACGTACCCAGCGAGGGGCCAGCAATTCTCTAATCGATAAAATACTCCAATCGAAGAGGGAGGCCCTTGCGTAGATAATCAACGCATTCCAGGCATGAAACTTTCCCACTTATTTAATTTAATTTCTTTAACGCTGAGATTCATAAATTATATTTTGCTCATAGGAGCGGTCAAGATTTTACGGCTTTTCTGCTCCATTTCGGTTCTAATAACTTACGCAGTCTCTAGATTAAAGTTAGGTTAGCACCAGCAATGTAAACGTAGTTACTAATTGTTTTGTTGGTATTCCATATGTATATAATAAATAAATGATATTCTTATTGCTAATATAATGACTTGTAGCATTCAGATTCGTTTTTCATTTCGTGGCTTTATATTATATGTCTGAAAAGATTTATTATACGCTATCGTACAATATTTATTTCCTTTTCTGAGCATCGAAAGTGTGAATTTAAACGCGTGTTTTAACAATTTGAATGTATATTGTTATATTGTTTATTTTAGAAATTCATAATTATTGTTTTTTAAATATTACAAATTTAATGTTCACAGTTAAATAAATGCGTGACATTATTAATTTTTATGGAAAGATTATGATGTAAACTAATAAATTTTGAACGCTTTCTTATCAAGATTTTTTTCTTTATTGACTTCTCTAAACTTAACAAAATATTTCTCATATTAAATAGACTGACCAATAAATTTTTAAATTTTTTAAAGCAAATACAATTCTATTTGAAAAAATTCTCACTGTCGCTAATTGAATTGCTTATTACATATTTTAACTAACTATTATTTTAAATTTAAATCATTCTATTAAATATTTAAATAAAATAATAAAAATATGTCGATTTTCAGTAACTAGTTGTTCATGGATAGTTATATAGAAATACGACAGTAAATGTGGTAATTATAGTAAACATTTTAATGAAAACGTAAAGCCCTATGAAAGGCAATGTAAAAATGTCGAAACAAATTGCGTACAGTAATATATTGTATTAAAAAATCTTAATAAGTATTTAATGTGTTATGCATTTACAAGGTCATAATAGATTTAATAACCAGCACATTTCTTTGTATATAAAATAAAAAAATGTTACCTATTAAATATTGGGATTACTTCGATTTTTAATACGCCGTACATAATGAAAATTCGTTTCACATTCGTTCTCACGTATATAATTTGCATTTAAGTACGTGAGAGTAAAATATAGTTATATTATTTTTATGGATGATTGGGCATACGTAATATAATCTTTCATTGAAAATTAAGAATACTAGCACTCTAGGATCTTTGCACCTAAGAACGTGTAATCAAGTATTAACCGAATACAAACATAAAATTATAAACTACCGTTTTTCATATACGTCTGCTGATTTATTTATAATAGGAATTTGTCTGAAAAGTGAATTTAATATTTTAATATTTCTAACACATTTCTAAAGTATGAGCCCTTGGATAGCCTCTCACATTTTCTTTACTAGCTTTTTCTCTCGCTTGCTTGTCGAAGCTAGAAGATATCAAACATTGAAGAGTGTTAACCATCATCTCATTAATACAGAAGAGGAAAATAGACAAAATCAATTGCATTTTGCGTTTTATGAGTCAGAGCTGATGCCAAAGCTTGAAACGTCGCTGTAAATAATGTGTGCATGAAGCCACGCCCACTAATCCGTTATTGTGCATGGCATATTGGTATTGATAGGAGTTTCAGTGGAACAGAGGGGCAAAGGATTGCCATTTCCAATTATTCACTTTTCTTATTATTCCTTTCGTTTTCGTTTAATTTACTGAATATGACTAAATTGAATATATATAAGGATTTGCTAAGAAAATAAGGTCGTGCTAAATGACTTATCGAGAAGTAACGCCCAAATTATCAGTAGAATGCTGCACTAACAATAAAAAGTAAACGTATCCATAATAAGAGTAAAGAATTTTAAAATAAATGAGATAGAAATAATTTGTATAATTATCATTTAAATAATTTTATTCGATTTCAATGTCATATTTACATAATTGCATTGTTCGATTAAATTTGATAAAATATAACTATTAATAAAATGTACTGCAATTCCATCTTTCATTTTGTTAAACAGTCAACACACTAAATTGTGTTCTTTCTTAATAATAACTGTTAGACTAATACCATTCATTTAATAAAAAGAAACAATTTAGTTAATAAATCATTATGAACGGATATAGTCTTTTATGCATTTTATACATAATTTGTTTTTTTAATGTACTATATAATATATCAGATTAGTATACTTTAATTATTATATAAAGTAATTATATATTGTATTTTTCATTAATTACTTTTAACTTACGATCGTATACTATAATCAATATTGTTTAATATCAATTGCATTATTTCATAGTATCTGCTCCGATTCAATTAACGAAGTTTACATTAACCTGATAATTTTATTAACATTTTATTAACAACGTATTACATAATTTAAATTTCATAATTTAATACGTTTCAAGATCAAAACGAAATTTATTCTTGTTAAAGCTCTTCGTTTAGCTTACACAATGAATTTAAAAGGTTTTGCAAATAGAGCCACATTTTCTAATATCACAAATATTTTTTTCACATTTAATTTAATATTTTTCAATATAAAATGGAATAACAATTTTTCAGAAGCAATTTAAAAAAGTAAATTGTAATCAATTCATATTATACATATTTCTTTCACATGGAATATAATATATTGATATATTATTCATATCACCTTTACTCCAATATTTGGTAAATTAATTACACAGACTCTTAATTATTACAAATTTTACAAAAGCAGTTTTTACGAGTTCCTCAAATATTAATAATAACAATACGTTATTTTAAACAACTCATAGGATTGGATATTGATTTATTTTTCTTGAAATATGGAATAAGGATTTATTAAAATATTCAATTAACTTATTACAAGTTATTAATTACTACAATAATTATTCAATACATGAAATTAAAAAAACTAAAAACACTATTGCTGTGTATAAAAACACATATATATATATATATATATATATATATATGCAGAAAATCATTAATAAATTTTTTTTAATTACAAGATGGTGCATCGATGACATCTAAGACACAATTGTATAAATACATGTGCCAGAATATTTCATTTTTGATGCACTGGTCGACACTTTTACAAATGCATGCAAATACAAATGAGAAAGGTAGTAATATAGAATATTCGTGACATGTGTAAACATATGAGGTAACATTAATGACTTGATACTTCAAAAATTATGTAAGATAGTTATTAAAAAGCGAAACATACAGCACATATTTTAATGCAAAAAGTCGTTTAATTGCATTTGGGATATTTGAGATTTCCATTCTATAGAGTAACAGAAGCCTACTTTATATACACAGAAATATAATCGATATATGTGCATTGCAAAAGTGAATTGAATTTTGTTCATAATTTTAGGTCATATATTAAAAAACAATTTTTATAATTTATATTAAGTAGTGGTACTAAAAGCTGATTGTTATTTATGTAACATTTATGTTAACATTTTAATTTGAAAACAATAAGTATTGATAATAAAATTGAAAAACAATTTTGATGTATAATATAAGTTAAATACTATATATCTAAATTATAAATATTTTACCGTGTTCAAATAATAAACTACAATAGTAACGCTTCAGAAAAGTAATACATAAATGGAAATTAAAACAAATATTAAATTCTTTAATGTTATTCAGATATTTTCTCTATTAATTCATATCAACAAATATAATAGTTATTTAATAATTTAATAATGAATAATTATACACGTAAAAATATTAGCTGTGATTGAATTAGTAATTATAATTGATCTCATAAATTACGAAGATTTCTGAAATAAAAATATTTTAAATTGCATCTTATATTTAGTTAAAACGACAAAAAATCTTTAATATAAAATTGTATTAAATACATAATGTACTATCCTAAACATGAAAGAAAAAAAAATTTGTCAGGAGTGGGATTCGAACCCACGCCCTCAATGAGGACCAGAATGCCCAGTTCACTCGACTTCAATCGAGAAGGAACACATGTACCTTGAGTCTGGCGCCTTAGACCGCTCGGCCATCCTGACACTTGGTAACGTTTGACACTAACATGGTACATTATCACAAGTTTTACATTAACTTTAAAATATAATATCATAAGGTTATATATAATAAACTTTTTACATAAGCAAATTATCTATACATTATCTGTATAAAGTAATAATTCAAATTTAAAATAGAAATATATATATAAATATATAAATATAAGGTAATTTAATTTTTAATGGAATAATTCGAGGAAATATTTTACTTAGAATATTTAGAAATTTATTTCAAATAATACACCTAGTTAGTTGAAATGGCTGTGGTATGACATAAATACATTACTAAATTGACTGAAAAACTATTAATTATTTTCTATTTTATGAAGTTTCGAAATATTCCATTTATTATTAGATTAAATAATCTATTATTAAATAATCTATTATGATACATACGTTTGTTAATTATGATTCAAAATTAATAAAAAAATTTTTTATTCTTGAATAGATTATTTTATAATAATTAATTTTATTTTGAACATTTGTATTGAATTATATTAATTTTAGCTAAATACTACAATAAATCCATAAGTATATAATTTAAGTAATGTATTTCTGATACCGAGTAATGTCTACTTAAAATTCATTAAAGGCGATCGATGAATTTCACATCAATATGTGTTCAAGTGAAATCTTATTGTATATATATTCATATTAATAATAAACATATTTATTAAAAATCATATCGAGTTATTTAAAGTCCGAAAAACTTTTAAATAAATGGACTAATGTTACATTAATGTAAATGTAAATGTAATCCAATGGTCCTTTGCATAACATATTTAAGATAGTAATAATTTCTACATCGAATTTATAGTATCGGTATCAAAATATTTTTAAATCATTCAAAAATTAAATTTGTAAAATGAATTCAAGTCGCACATGAAATTAAATCCTTATAGATTTTAGAAAGATGTAGCATCTGGTGCCTGCCAACTATAGGGTTAATCTAAAAGTAATATGAGTTTTCGTTTTAACCCTCGATCGGTAAAATAGAATTTGGTCTTTATCGATAAAATATATATAGCCCGACACTCGATACAACTCTCATACTGGGGAGGCCAAGGACAAAAATGTCCACCTTCTATATATAATAAATATATTATCTTTCCTGAAATTAAATAGTTTCTACCTTACTGCAATCTTGAAGGTTATGTTATTTTGATAACAATTTTTATGGATTATTTTTTATGCAAATAAAGCTGTTAATATAAGTTACAAGATTACCATTGCATTTTATCATTATTTATAATATAAATATAATTGTGCGTAAGAGATATAATAAAAATGTCAAAATTATAGGTGTATTTACATTTATTCAGTTATTATTGTATTCAATTATCATTATATTTCAATTATTATTTGATCAAATCAATGTGACATCGAGGTAATTGTATTTTTTCTCAAGTTTCATGTTTATTTTACTATTAGTTTATGTCAGGTATAACTTTCAACTATCCAATTTGAATATCATTAAAATATATATTTATATAAAATTAGATTATATATTTATAAAATTATAAAATATATATATTATGTAGGTTTTTACACATTCAAGTTTGTATATCCTACTTTATACAGGGGGTTATTTTCATTACATCTTAAATTCATAAATTAATTAATAGCAATTTAATTGCTATCTGTTCAAATAAAAATGTATTATTTATAATTTACTATTATATCTTAAATTAAAATATTCAGCAAATGAAGAAAAATATGGGGAAATAAAACAACCAAATATATAATTTAAGAATAAAATTATTATTAATACTATATACTTATGTGTATTAAAATTTAATTTGCTTATTTATTTTGTGAAAATTAATATTATAAATTAAAATATGTTATTTATATTATTAAAATATAATAAATTTATTGTATATTATTATTAATCTTTACATCTAACTGCCTTCATTATGAAAAAACATGTTTTATATATTAATAATAATTATGTATACAAAATATTTAAAGTTCAATTGAAAAAGGTCTCTAAAATAAAAAAAAAGTATATATATTCATTTTACATTAAAAAAATGCTGGTTATTTTCAGCATAACTTATAGAATTCATTGTTTGAATATTCTAAGCATTTACTACATTACAACTTATTGCAAGCAAGCAGTTATAATAATTGATGCTAACTAATTAGTAATAATAAGCTTTATGGTTTTTTATTAAATTTTTTCATTAATTTACCTTTATTTTTATAAAACTAAAAGATTTAAAATAGCTTTTAAATTCTTTTATTTATAAAATGCATATCAGTTGATTAACTTTTTAATACTTTTGTGCATTTAGAAATTTTGAATAAAACTATATTTAACTGAAATTTATAACGTTTTTAATAAAACTTTATATGTTAAAATTACATTTTTGCTAAAATCACAAATATTAAAGAATATTTTTTTTTTTAAATATTAAAATTAGTTAATACTGGGAAAAAATTAATGTAAGCATATAGAAATTTTAATACATTTTAATAAAATTTTGAAATTCTATAATTCTATCTAGTATTTTTCTATTATTTTTACTTTTATATGTACGAAATACAATAGAAACGAGCAATGTGCTAATTCATTTTTTAAATAAATTGTCTATATAAAACATTTGATTTATATTATTAGTAGATCTACTATAAATAATATTATTCCATAGAATTAATAGCATATTTTTAAAAATGATTAATTAAATGTAAAATGATTCAAATATTAAAAAGTATGATCAGTAAAAAGGATAAAAAGATAGAAAGAAAAACTATAAATTTATCCCTGGAATGCAAGTATCATCAAATGTTATGATAAATAAAAAAACAGAATTTCTAATTAAAGTATTAATATTCCATTTCTTAAATACAATATCATAAAGATTTGGTAATTATTCTTACTTACTTATTTTTAAAACGATTTTGTACAAATTTAATTTCTTTAGTAGCTTAAAATATAAAATTAAAAAAAATTAAAAATATTAAAAATAAATATGAGTATAAATATAAATATAAATATAAATATAAATATAAATATAATAATAAATATGAGTGATAACTAGAGTTCAGGTTTTACAAAATTTTTAATATTTAAATAAAAATATGAATAACTCTTTTTGCAATCAATTCATAATTAAATTTTTTAATCAAAACATATATTTATTTTTTGTTTGTAGTTAATACATAAAATAAATATAGTTTTATTTGTTTAATTGACTATGAAAGGGCTTCGCTATTTTAACCGATTTTAGATGTATCAAATTTTAATTTCTCGTAATGTAATATTATTAATATACTTGCTACTTGTAATTATAAAAAGAATATATTGCTTCTTATATTTTCCTTGATATCTAAAAAAAAATTTTTAAAACCTAGTCAACGATAGATCACCTTTACATTATGTCCAATAATGAGTCTAAACTGAACCGTTATATATTTTTCTTTACTTGGATACATGCTATTGTCGTTATTCATTAAAATTATATTCGATTCTATAGTTCAAATACATGATAATTCATTCATATGCCATGTAAAGAAATTAAATGAAATTGATTTTACCTTCCTTTCAATAATTAGGCTTTATCGAAATAGTGCTATGCACTTTTTATATTCATTATAAATAAAATTAATTATTTAAAGTACAATCGTTATATGAAATTTAATATTATATTAATAACATTACTATACATTTTAATTATTATGAAATCATTTTAAAATTTAATGGAATTTTAAAATTTTAATACGGTGTGAGTATACATACAGCATTTATAATTAAATTGATATCGTTAATATGATAATAATATATTGTATTTGTAATTACAACGAAACAGTAGTTTCAATAAAAATAAAATGAAAACTTATTGTCTATATCTTTCGAAATACAGTAAAATTTTGACAAAAATAGTTCTTTATATGTAAAAAAGCTGTAAAAAATATTATTTTAAGTTTCGATATAATATGAAAGCTATGCATGCATATATATATATATATATATATATATATAGATAGATATATATAGACGCTAACTATGGTTTAACAATAATTTTCTGAAATTAATACAGATATTTGAGTATACGTTTGTCTGGATATGTTTGAAACATTAGTTCGTTTTATATTATCTCGCAAGAGTATCAATTAAATCTATATTTTACATTTGTATTTTATATTTATATTTAATATTTATATTTTATATTTATATTGTATTTGCATCAATTACAAGGCGAACGGCACGTGCACCAGTGCCCGACAAATACCCACGATAATATGATATATAAAATGTATTTAGAAGTTGAAAGGATACAATAATGTTTATTTGAATCTATTTGATAACAATATAGTAGCTCTTGAACAATACATTTTTAGATAAAGTTTTACGTACGTATAAATTTCCATTGATTATAGAGAATATATTTGTAATTTTTATTATTTACTTGAAATACCACGGAACCAATTTTGAAAAGTATGTTCTTATTGAATGAATTTATAAATATAATAAATTTAGATTATGAGAATCAAAGCTTGTATTCAAATATAAACCTTTTTATTCGAAATAATAAAATTTTAATGCATAACATTAAAATATATAAATATTATGCATTAGAGTTGCAGTAATTTAATTATTTTCAAAAGTTTTATACCCATTACACACAAATATAATTAATAATCAGTTTTATACCTTTAGTTTTAACCTTATCTTAAATATTTACTTATAAAATTTAATAAAATAGCTGTTCTAATTCTGTAATAAAATTACATTAATCTCTTGAGCAATGTTTATTTGGATGCGGATGGTTGGAGATTAAGGACTTTGTCGTTATTCCGAAAGTTAATTGAGAAAATACTTATGATCGAAGTTTATGGTATATTCTCTTACTTTGGTTCCTTTTTTTAAATTACTATCACTTGTTAGTAAATTGGTTATTCTTATAGGTTCATTAACTAAATCTTTAAAACTGATTTAAAAAAAATGTCGTATTTCCATACCTTAATTAATACATTTTAATTTTCCTGTCATTATTTTGCGTTACTATCTTTTTCAGTCTTTTTCATGGCAGCTTAATGTTGCATTACCTTTTCTTTTACATAAAATCATAATGAATATTTTAATTGAATGCTTTCAAAAGGGATTTAAATTCCAATATTTTTTACAATATAACTTAAAAGTTTTATAATAAAAAATGTTAAGTTATGTATTTTTGTGATTTATAAAAATATTTCGGATATTATGTATAATATAGAATCAAAGAATACTAACTAAAATATTGTAAATTTATTAGAAAAAACTATTCTGATATATAAATGAGTTTCCATAAAGAGTTTCAATAAAGGAAACTGCTGAGAAAAAAATATAATTAACAGTGATGGTTAGTGATAAAAGTGAAAATGAAGTAAAGTGGACAGATATAAAAATACTAGCTTATATAAATATTATCATTAAAGAACATTGAACTTTAAAAAGTCTTATCATAAAAATAGCAATCGACGTAAAAATCATTCGAACATATTTTCGAACTCGAGTTACTACAGTGTTTTAAATAATTTAACATGCCATATATGAGGCTAATATTATTAATATTAATACAAATTAATATTTCAAAGAATTTTATTAGTATTTAAAAATTTCTGTATAAAATATTGCTTATAAAAATCTTGAATTTTTCAAAACATACGACTATTATCTTATTCTCTTAATTAATCGTCAAGCACGACTGTATAAAGGTATAAAGTAATTTTAAAGAATCAAGATGTATTCACTATTTATTGAAAACTTCCAAATAAGGCTTGTAGAAAGTTTTTTTATCAAAAATTAAACTCATCAATTGATATTATGAAGTAGTGAATCCTATTTAAATATCGTTGATTAAATAACTTTGATATGAAATGTCCTACAAGAGATGAAAAATAATTTTTCTTATTTTAATGTGAAAAGATAATAAGCATATCTATTACTTTTACATTTATATACTTATAGCAAATAATATGATAGATTTTTTAAAAGTTTCTTATCGTCTGCACTTTTTAATACACCTACGACTTGAAGTTAGCGGTGCGATTTGGTACTTTTATACTATATTCAATTATTTAAGTTAAATTCTTCACTGAATGCTGTTAATGCATAAAATAGGACATGGACGTTTATTCAAGATCTCTTATTGCATTTCTGCAATCTTGAGTATGATTTTATTGAATGTACTGCATTAATTTTTCAGACTTTAATTTTTCAGATAAATTAGGCATAATCCTTTTGTTAAAAATCTATTTTTATAGTATTATTTATGTCAGAAATATTATTTAGGACAAAAGTTAAATTTGAATTCTTATAATTATGAAAGATTATTTCAATTAAATCATATAATTTAAACTGATTGAAAAATCGAAATATCATAGTATCTTGGTTGACCTACGGCTTCAAGGTTAAACTAAAACGAAATAGATGGGATCGATTTAGATTGCAATATATATCTTATAATTATAAGATAGTATATTATAAGTTGGACCTATGCTAATGGGTTTATTGCGCATAAATCTCTAATCATAATTTTTACATGAATTGTATATACACTTGATTTCATATATTAGGAAAAATTATGTCGAATTATATATTAAAAAATGTATACGTAATATTAATGAACCAATAAATAATTATGCAAGTTTGCAAATTTAATTAATATTTTTATTTCTAAATTACTCACAAGGATCTTTGGTTTTCCTTATATACTAAGTGCAAATTTTTTATAAATATCTTGAATTTATAATTTTGTAAAACCTTATGAAAGTAAATTTTCATTTAGTAGTGATTTTGCTCAAACTTTAATTAAAAAAAAATTAAAAAAAAAAGTTGAAGTAATAGAAAATTAATTATGATATAACAAGCGATTTACACAATAACAGAAACTGTAGCATATGCGTAAACAATTTGAGATTACCAGTTCATTAAAAAAATTGTTAATGCTAACTATCTTATGGCCTTTCGAAACTATAGAATTTACTATTTTTTAAATTTAAAATAAAAATGGGAATGTACAATTAGAAATCTCCCGGATCTATTATTTTGTTTTACGTATATTTATATTTTCTTCTTGAACAATGCTCGTGTCTGTATTTTCAACTTCGTAAAAATATAAACCATTTGTAGCATTGAAATCTTTACATTTAAGAGCAACAAAATTTGCATTTTATCTCTAATTACCTAAGAATTGAAGTAATTTAGTGTATAACATTACATTAATATATTTTTAGTATATAGAATAACATTACTTATATTTATAATTGAATATATTTTTATGAAATACGTTTTAACTATATAAAATATTTACATAATTTTATTTTTTAAAAATTAAAGTAGTTATCCTTAAAGTTTTAATGAAATTTTTTATGAATACATCCTTTATTTAAAATATTTTTAAACAAATTTTATTTAATAAAAGACTGATATTTAATACGACAACATTGAATATATGCATATAAAAAAATGAATAAGTTTGATCCATCGAAAATGCAAAGATGGTCGAATCAATTGACCTATTTTTCATTGCAATTATTAAAGTTAGTGAAGATTCTCTTAAAATTGAATACGACATCAAGATATGGAATTGATAATAGTGAAACTCTTGGAATGTTTTTGTAAAGAAAAGAACCAATAAAGAAATGTGCACTCAGCAGTATTGTTAATAATAACAAGTAAAGGACATTTTTGAGTCCCACCTGCAATATTTTCACTGGACAATCGATTGATCATCATCTCCTGGAGCTCAATATGCTGCTGCTGGTTCTTGCTTCTGGTGGATGCCCTGCGGAGAGATCCGAGCCTGAGCTTAATACGACTGTCAACGTTGTCAATGTTTCCAAGATTGATTGGGCTGCCAATGATGTAAGGCCCCAACTCTGCTTCCTGCCTCTGACTCAACTCCTCGTCATTATGAAAGCGCTCGCCGAGTTGTGTCAACTCATCGTCCATGTGTGGAATCGAAGAGAGATCCGGGGGTGTGAATGGACGCAGAGACCCAGGGCTCGGTGGAAGCCTCTGTAGCCGACCGCGTGGCCCGGGTGACCCCCTCGACGGCGACCACATTTCTGGAGCCGGGACCTGCAATGCGGTAGAAGAGCCTTTGCTTTATTTTCTTAGACAAGTCATTCCATTGATTTTATAAAAGAAAAGCTTGTCGTGTAATCTGAAAAGGTCCACTTAATGTGGAATGATAATGTGCACATTTAAATGTTCCTGGAACAAACAAGAGGTAATTCTTCACTGAAACTTAATGATATTTATACAAAAAAATGATATAGAAAATTTAATAGAAATGGAACAGATGGTCTATAAGATATTTAAAATAAAGGCTGTTATAATACTGTTTCTCACAATAAAAAAGGTTGGAAGCTTGTAAAGTGATAAATTATAAAATTAGAATGCGTGTTTCTTTTACCATAATTGAAATGTATTTTATCGAAATTAGAGTAAATGATTGGACTAAAGTGAAGAATTGCTTCAAGTAGATTATTTGCATAAGAGCTAGTAATTGTAACAAGATTGAAATATCATTTTATTGGGTTTCAAATTAACATTACATTTCTTTTCACTAAATGTTAATTAAGAAAAATTAATTCCTTTTAAATTTTAAAATTAAGAATTTACAAAAGCATAAAAAAAAATTTAATTGAAGTTGGGCTATTCATTTAATTTATGAAAATGAATACAAAAACTTGACAATGAGTGAATATTGTAATATACTGGCATTAATATAAGAATAAATTTCGAGAATTATTTAATTATGTTAATGAAAAAACAAGCAACGAAAGAGTCGACTTACTTTTGTCATCAATGCATAAAAAATTATATTATGAATAATTATATCCAATTTGTAAGATCCTTAAATTATAATAGTTGTAGACAAAGACGAAAATAATAAATGAAATAATATCTGTAATATGAAATAATAAAAATTTATATTCTAAATAGCTTCTTATACATGATATATGATAGAATAAAATAAAATATATAGAACGAAAATGCGTTCCTAATGTGATTAAGCGACTGAGGTATGAAGCAATGATGAAATCTAAGAAATAATAACACAAAAGCGAGAATTATGATGTTGAAACAATCATTACTTTCCTAACAATAAATATTGTATTGTAATAGTTTGTTTAAGATAATTTTTAAGTTAAATAAAATTGAATCTGAATTGTTTGTAATTGTATTTTAAATATCATTAAAACTATGTTTAACATGAAATTGATATTCGTATGAAGGCTTTAAGTTTATTTATATTTTTATTAAACAATATTAAGAATAATAGTGCATTAAATATAAATCCAGTATTTCCACTTATTATTCGTAGGTCAAATAACAAGCAACTTTATTACATGTATTTTAATTACAGTTTTACGTATTAAATCCATTACATTACCAACAATAGATATTACGCATAACTTTCGTTTACAAATGTTTAATGGCTTTATATGAGGTGTAAAGATATTAAATATTATATATGTACTTAACAATTAACTTTATATTATTAAGGTAAAAAAATAATAAAAGCATATATCATTCGTAAACTAATGTATTCTACTATAAATCAAATTTAAAATAATAACAAAAATTTATTTATACTAAAACTATCTTTATTTATAAAATATATTTGAACATTTTATAATCTATACATTTAATGAATGATGAAATCAGTTATTTAATAAATATTGTGTGTTTTGATTTCAAGTTCTAAGTTATTTACAGAATGGCTTCTAGTTCTGAAATTTCCACCTTTACATAAACATTATGCAAATTTACAATACTTTAAATTAAATTAAATATTCAATATTATTTATATTATATATTAAATAATAAATTATAAATTAAATAATATTAAATCATCGTTTTAAATATAATTAATATGAATTAATAAATATATTGATAAAAATTAGGAAATTATCAACAGAATTAATTATAAATTATTATTTTTTAAATTACTCACAAATCATTAATAATGTACATGAATAATTAAAAATATATTAATTTAAAGTTGGTGATGAGCTGAATTTTCAGCTAATCCATAATTACAATATTTCATTCATATTTTAATATACGACTTTTCATGCTCTTAATAAGGCTCAAAAATTCAATGTACCAATTACAATTACACATGCATGATGCAGAATATATGAAAGCACATCAATAAAGCATAAGTAATATATTAGCCATTCGAATTTTCCCTTCTATTAGTATACAATTGTTGATTCATCATTGATGTGAAATGAGAATTACGTTCCAAAAATCGGAAATAAAGTGAAAAGTGTGAGAATATAATAAAGAAACAAGGAATTAGGGCAAGTTTTTTAGAACTCGTATAAATTAGATCGAGGCTGCAAGGGAACGCAAAGTAGCATGTATCGCATATTGGAATGTCGGCATTTTGAGAATGGATTGCGAAACATTCACTCCGCGCTGGAGCCAAACGGAACGAGGCCATGAAATTTCATCGCTACACTATGTCGTAGATGTTTTGATGCTCGATTGTAAGCATGATGAAGAAAACCACTTAAACGATTATTATTATCTGGAATAATTCTTGAAATATTTAGGTAACAGTGTCGATTTTATTAAAAGAATAAGAAGAATTGGTGTTAACGAAGTTACGGCAAAGTCGCAGATAGACAAGACTGCTGATTAATATTTTGACGTGAAAAGGAAAATTTTTTGAAACTTTTTCTACATTATATAAAATTTGTGACATTATAAGTAAATTTTTAAATAAATACCTTAAATAAATACATTTCCAACATTCTATGTATTATTACAAAAAACAAAAAACGTATCGGAGCTATAAATGAATGTAAATATAAATAATATTTTTTTATATATGTAAACATGAATAAATAATACTACTATAATTCAAATTATAAAATAAACACTGTTTTGATATTTTAAAAAATGTTAAATATGATTATGATGATGTTAAATATAATGATTCACGGTTTAAAATAGAATCTAATTATGGGAAACTTTATTTTTATTTTGAATTCTCGAATAATGAAATGGAAAATATAAAGCCATATTCTATAATCACACATTATTATATGTATACAAAATTTATTTAATTAGCAGTAATATGATTTCGTCAGAATTAAATAGCCATCTATAACTAAACTTTAAAAAATATAAATGTAAGCATCTCTTAGGCATAGAATTTTGAGTGACTTAATTTTTACATAATCAATGAGGCTTTCTAATAATATCAATTTTTCCATTTTAACAATACTCTGCTGTCTATATTTTATTATAGTTTTACAAAATCGTTTTACTCTACAATTTACAAAAACTTTTAAATTTTTATGAAATGTGAATGGATGAATATTAATATAAGTATAAATATTAAGCTCAAAATTGAAAGATTTAAAATATCATTGAATATAATTTCACTCATAATTCTTATTAGTTGGTTTCCTTATAAAAGTGAGCTAAACCGAATAATAAAGATTAATACAATAAGATGCTTTTATTCTGCTTTTATTAAATATATATATATATATATATATATATATATATATATATATATATAAATATATATATAATATATACAAATTATCTAATTTATTATGCATATGTATAGAAAATATATAAATTAATTGCAAAACTTTCATTTTTAACTTTATTAATCTTTTTTTTAACTATAGCTTAAAGATATCCCTAATACATAATTTTTTAATTTAACATTGATTATTACTCAAAATAAATATAGATTTGTATTTAAACTATTTATTACCTTTTTATTTAAAAATTGCGTATTAACAATAATATTTTTATTTTTAATATGTAGATATTTTTAGCGTTCAATACTAATCAAGCATTTAACATATTCTATTGATATTCAAAATATTTATAATCAAACATATATTGATATTAAACATATATTCATAATCAAAATATTTTTTTTTATATATTATAATTCATAGTCGATTCCATTAAAAAAATGAATAGTAAGATAATAATAGTAAGAAAAGAATTACAATTAAATATGTTATTAAATCTAAAAATAATCATCAGACTATAAATAATTATTTCCAATTATATGTTGCTATTATAATACCCTGTAATTCGGTGTATTTCTATAGATAATATTATTTGTATTAATAAATTTATAAAATGAATTTAATTTTAAAATTTACTTTCAACTTTTGAAGTTGAGTTGGTATAAAATAATATAATAATTGAAATCCATACATACGAATATGTAATGATATTTATTCTTAAAAGCAATAAATATAAAATATTTATGTGAAATAGAAATGAAAACAAACTATGCATTAAAAAATGTTTACTTCTTCTAAGACTATATTTAGTTTATAAAATACTTAGTTAACTCAACATTTGATTTTGTGATAATACATACCAAATGTGTTAAAAATATTTTTTTTGTATTATTTCAATCGATCTATTTATTACTTTATATTTATACTATATTATTGTTTATATAAATATAAAATACTATATTATATTTATACTATAATATATATATATACTATATATTTATTACTTTAATTTTCCATCATAATTGAAACACTCTGTCATAGTTTATCATAATTTCCATCATAATGTAACATTATTACATTTATAGTAGTTTTTGATTTGTTGGAGAAATATTAATATATTTATTTCTTATTGTTGATTATTTTTGTATATATAAAATAGCAACAACCTCATCGCGTCAGTACCATAATTTACTGCCAACTTTTCGCCACATAAAAAACTTTCTGAAAAGTTACATAAAAGCCTTAAGTTTATTGTTAGACTTCGTGGTATGTAATTAATAAGCTCTTTGCTTCAAAATACATTAATCACATAACTTTAGAATACATAAAATCTATTTCATACATTTAGTGAAGAAACTATTAAATACTTTAATCTTTCACATGCGCAAGCATCTTATCATCTTTCGGAGGATCAAATTCACCAGTCAATAATTAATTTTCATATGTATAACCGAAACATATTTAAAAT